AAAAATTTTTAAAAAACCCTTCCAACCAGGGCCAGAGAATGATGGGGAGAAGCTGATTTCTCCTTTGTTGTTGTTGTTGTTATGTGCCTAGAGTCGGCCCCAACTCATAGCGACCCCTCCTTGGGTTTCCGAGGCAGTATCACTACAGAAGTAGATTGCCCCATCTTCCTTCTAAGGAGTGGCTGGTGGGTTTGAACCGCCAGCCTTCTGGTTAGCAGTCTTAGGCACTATGCTATCAGAGCTCCCGACTTCTCCTTTAGCACACTCCAAATGAAACAAGGAAAAATAAACTTTTTCTCAGCTCAATCCTAAAATAGGACAAATGAAACTGGGAAGAAAGTCCCCAGGTTGGCCAACACCCCATGCCTGTGCCTTGCCGTGGCTCCTTTCCCCAAATCACGCAGGCACCATGCCTAAGTGCCAGTGACGGCTGGGCCAGCAGTACTGCTGCTGGACATCCCTTCCCCTTAATAACTCTAATTCACCTGTTGGTTGATCTCCTGGGATTCTCTTCCCTCATCTGGCCATACGTGGTAGAACCTGCCTAACATTTGCTACCCACTGCCACCTATTTGATTCCAACTCACAGCAACCCTAGAGGGCAGAGTCACACTGTGCCATATGGTTTCCAAGGCTGTAAATCTTTATGGAAGCAGACTGTCTCATCATTCCCCTGAGGAACAACTCAAGAGTTCAAAATGCTTAGCAGGCAAATGCTTTAAACACTGCACCACCAGAGGGCCTTAATATTTGCTGCAGGAGGCTATTATTCTCTTAGACTATAAATTCCTTATGGTAGGACATTCTAAAGCTCTAAGTGGCAAGGTATCCTTTTATCATTTTAATTTCTCTTTCAATGTACTTAGCCCCCGAAATATCTGAGCTGCTACCACCATCTTCCATCTTGAAAAGTAGACACAAAAGCCAGGCCGTGATTTCATGCAAGTATATCAGGGTGGTGGTGGTGGTGTTGTAATGTGCTGTTGAGTCGGCCCCGACCCATAGCGACCCCTCCTTGGGTTTCTGAGGCAATATCACTATGGAAGTAGATTGCCCCATCTTCCTTCCGAGGAGTAGCTGGTGGGTTTGAACCGCCAGCCTTCTGGTTAGCAGTCAAGTGCCTTAGCCACTATGCTAGCAGAGCTCCTTAATATAAAACAAAAATTCTTCAATCTCCTATTACCCCAGCCACTTAATAATGACATTCCAAGGAACTGAAACAGCAAGAGAGCAGGGAGAATCCCACCCCACTGGGTAACAATGAATTCAGACACACACTCTCAGGCAGAACAGTAAATCTGCTGATGAACTGAGGAGAAAGGAGATGGAGGCAGATTCAAAGCTGGAAAGGCCTCAGAGATCATCTGAAATAGGGTTTCTCAAACTGGTCTTTAAGTATAACAGCAAGTCTCATCGAGGATATTTCTACTTTGTATTTTCATTATAATGTTGAAAAAAAAAAAAAAAGAAACAAACAAACAAACAAAACGCATATACTGGATCATTATCATCAAGTACAGCCACACAAGTCAGTGGCCATACATGTTCAGAGCCAAAGATCACATAAGGTGACCAAATTAAATTCTTAACAAAAGGTTTTTCAATCTGGGTTCCATGGACCCTTCAGGGGTATATGGGTATATGATACAGTCTCTGCGTGGTCCTCAATTTTGAGAAAAACAGATAAAATCCAACATCCTCATTTATCCAGAGAAGTCATTAACTTGTCCAAGGTCGTGGCAGAGCTGGAGCTAGAAACAGACCACCTGATTTCAAGCTCTGGACTCCCTTTTACCATTTCTACGTCTCTTCGTGGGGCAAGCAGGGTTTTCAATAAATTCTTTGACTTTTCTAACCATGTATTTTGAACCAATCTAGTTTACCCCAAAAGAATCAAGGTGAGCATCAATAAAAATAAATAATACAAATAGATAAAAATAAAAGGAAATCACCATCACATTTCCTCAATTGTGTAGAAAGCTTGAAGCATTTGCCCAGATACTGACCTTTGAAATGCAGCACATTCTCAGTGATGCTGATAGCAGGATTCTGTGGAAAGAAATCAAGGATGTAAGGAAGGAAATGAAATGAAAATCAGGTGTCCCTTTCTCCCTCTCACTCCTCCTTGGGGGCTTGACCTCCCTACTTTCTGCCTCCCCGTACAACACATTCAGCTGTTTGTTCACCTCTATGTGTAAGGCTTCTCTATGCCTGTCCGTAGTTATCAGAGATTGTAAGCTCCTGCCAGAAAGACCCTCAACTGCTCTGACTGCATCACAATGACGTACTAAATCAGGCCATTCTGATCACGGTGAATCATACAAGGTGCTAAGTGAGGTATAATGGGGGATTAGACAGATCTCTAAGACGTGTGTCCTTAAATTCTGGAAGCAGAGAATCTAGTGGAACAGATGAATCACTTCCTGTGAGGAGATTATCAACTAACATAAGGTAAGATATGCTCAATACTAAAAGATTAGTAAAAAGTTATGTGTTACAAGAATTAAGAAGATAATGAGCACAATGGGAAGAGAATGCTAACTAACTAGAACTGAATTGAATTGAATTGGCAAAAGCTGTGTGTTTTTTTTCACCAGAAACTAAGACCTGTACAGCAACAGGAAGAACAAATAAATTGCAGTAGGTAGTAGAAAGAGCTGACGCTTACAGGTGGTTGGATGAAAATGAAACATGCCTTGCCTGTGGTTCTAACTTAGCCCCCAGGCTCCCAAACCTCTTAAACCCCAAACAAATCAAGACTGGAAAAGAGCAAAATCTTTCAAATTGCTCTGTTTCCCCAAAAGTTGCCACATGCCTTTGGCAGGGTGATTTAAAATGGAACTACTTGGGTTGGTTTTGTTTGTTTGTTTGTTTTCAGTGAATGAGAAACAACCCAGCCCCTACATGCCAGTTCAATGTTAACTAAGCAAGACATAGCATGTTCCCAGGTGTTCATTTTTTCCCTCCTACAGGGAGTGAACAATTCCAGTAAATAAAGATCATTCCAGAAACAAGTTCATAACTGGGAAAAAGGAGAGCCAGAAGCAATAAAAAATATTTTAGAATCTATATGTATGAGTGAGATTGGCCTGTATTTTCCCTATGAAGTTAGATAGACCTGGGTTCCTATCAGTTATATTGCTTTTTATTTCTATTATTCACCTTCAAATCCAGAGTAACCATCATCATTTTGAAAATAATAATAAAGTACTTTAGACTTTCAACAATCACAAGATTGTTGTGACAATTATAGTAACACACAAAGAGTCTGGTTTATTAAGCACTCATATTCTGGTTGCTTTTCTTCCTCTGATTAAAATGCCCTTCAAGATTCCAGGCCTGTTGAACACAATTCATCCTTCAAAGTCCAGCTTAAACGTTAATACCTCTTCCTACCTCCTCACTGCCAGTATCAACTTTAATAGCTGCCTGACTACTTTGCTTTCACCTTTACTAAGCACTTAACACACTGTTCTATGTTGTTGTTGTTATTTGCCGTCGAGTTGGCCCCGACTCATAGCGACCCCTCCTTGGGTTTCCGAGGCAGTATCACTACGGAAGTAGGATTGCCCAACCTTCCTTCTGAGGAGTGGCTGGTGGGTTTGAACCGCCAGCCTTCTGGTTAGCAGTCAAGTGCCTTAGCCACTATGCTACCAGAGCTCCTCATAATGAACTAGTTGGAGACAATTAGACTTGGTGGGATAACCAATAAGAATTACAGAATGGCCATTTTTGTTCTATAGTTACTGTTTATTCCTGTATCTGTTCCTAGACTTGAGCTCCTTTGATGCCAGGAACTGTGTCTTATTCATACCTAAACCCCCAATGCCTCTGTAACTGTTTACTGAACTGAAATAAATCCATCTACCCCATTTTCATCAATTCTGACAGAACCACAAAGAGCTAATATACTATCTACTACCTAATGCTTTAGACAAGAGTTTCTTTTCTCGTTCACATCTTTAGTATTTATCTTTGTGTGTACATGTGTGATTAATAAATGTGTAGAAAAGAATGAACGTAGCAGCCCAGAAGCTGCTATCTTTAAAGAATCTGCTTCCATATACTGCTGATGGGACTATAAAATGGTACAACCACTATGGAAAACAGTATGGTGCGTCCTTAAAAAGTTGGAAATAGAAATACTATTTGATCCAGCAATTCCATTACCAGGTACATATCCTAAATAAGTGAGAGCTGGGACACAAATTGTTATATGCACACTCACGTTCATCACCCGGAAGGAAGGTTGAACAATCTACTTCTGTAGTGATATTCCCTCGAAAACCCACCGAGGGGTCGCTATGAGTCATACCTGACCCCACGGCAGTGGGTTATGTTCATCACAGCTATTCACAATAGCAAAGAGCTGGAAACAATCTGAGTGCCCTTCAACAGATAAATGGATAACCAAATTACGGTACATACACACAATAGAATACTATATAATATTAAAGAATAATGTATAATCCAAAAAATACTTCATAATGTGGATGAACCTGAGGACGTTATACTGATTGAAATAAGTCAATCACAGAAAGAGAAATATACATGAGTCCACTATTATAAAAAATTTTCTTTCACAGAAAGAAACATTCTTTGATGATTACCAGAGATGGGAGGAGAGAAGGGAAAACTGCTAACTATGTAAGAGACACATATTGATTTAGGTGAAGGGAAAGGTAATACACCAAAAGCGGGTAACCAGCACAGTTTAACTAAGGAAAAAGGAAGACGTGGAAAGGTGCACAAAAGTAACAGACCACAAAGGTAAACACTATTACACATCCAAAACGGCATTATCAGTAATAACAAATATTACTCTACAACTGGATACGCAAGTAGACAGGCAAAATGATCAGGTATGAGCAGGCAAACAGGACCACACCCATGACCATATACAGATCTGGCCAATGGTATTTCTACATGCATATTTGTATGTGCTATAAGAATGTCCATATGTGTAATAGAGCTAACAGAGGGCAAAGTTATTATAATTTCTTAGCCACAGCCAAACACCTTGAGGGAGTGAGTCGCTAGGCCTACGGGCACGGAATCATGGTTGCAGGGGACATCAAGCTCTATTGGCATAATATACTACACAAAAATATTGTTCTACATCCTGCTTTGGTGAGTAGCAACTGGGCTTTTAAAAGCTTGTGAGCAGCCATCTAATACGCAACTACTGGTCTTTCCTAGTCTGGAGCAAAGAACAGGGAAGAAAATCAAAGACACATAGAAACAATTAGTCCAAGGGACTAGCAGACCATGGGAACCTCACCTACATGATCCTGAGACCAGAAGTAGAGGGTGCCTGGCTACCACTGCAAACCACTCTGAAAGGGATCCAAATTGGAAATCCTGGATAGAGTAAGAGAAAAATGGGGGACAAAACTCAAAATCATGAGAAAGACCAGGCTTACTGGTCTGAGAGAGACTTATAGAATCCCTGAGATTATATGGCCCTTAGCCATTCTTTGGGCCTGGACATGAACTCACTCCCCTGGCTCAACTTTCAGCAACAACAGACAGACCTATAAGGTGAACAGTAACACCAGAGAGGTAAGCACTCCCTAGAACAATCAACCATAAAAGATCAAAAGGGCAGCATTTGCCCAGGGATAAAGGTCAGAAGGCAGGAAAAGATAAGAAAGAGAATAGATAACAAAGGGAAATGGTAACCACAGGGAAGAGGTGAGAGGAGTGCTGTTACACTGTGAGGACTGCAAACGATGTCATTGTTGTTGTTGAGGATTGCAAACAATGTCATGGTTGTTGTGGTGGTGGTGGTGGTGGTGGTTGTTATTTGTCCTCGAGTTGGCCCAGACTCATAGCAACCCCTTCTTGGGTTTCCGAGGCAGTATCACTACGGAAGCAGATTGCCCAACCTTCCTTCCAAGGAGTGGCTGGTGGGTTTGAACCACCAACCTTCTGGTTAGCAGTCAAATGCCTTAGGCACTACGCTACCAGAGTTCCCTAATGTCATGGTAGGAACTGTTAAAAAGGAAAACCAATTTGCTCTGTAAACTTTCACCCGAATCACAATGAAAAGTTAAAAAAAAAAAAAAGACAGAGAGAGAGATAGAGAAATTGTTGAATGGTTGAATGGAAACCTGTTTTGCTGTGTATATTTTCACCAAAAATAAAAGGTCTGCTTTCAAGATTGACTCTTGGCTGGCATCTGGGAACCTGGCTTTCCTCCATTCCCTACCTAGTAAGGGTGGTTCACTGGGCCTACAAACAATGGGAATCCAGAGTTTTAGTTCATGCCTTGCAGAGGGAAATGTGAGCAGCCAATACTTAAAAACCTTGGGTCCTGAATTTCGAATGTGTATCACTGGACAAAAACATTAAAACACATAACTGCATTTTTCATTGCTAGACAAAGAAGTACACTCAAATGTGTCCCCTCAAAGAAAAGAGAACATAAAGAAGCCTGTGCATGGCTTTCTCCAGATTCCGCCCATGTCTTTTTTTCCTTTGTTGAGCCTGCTGTGTATCCTTTCACTGTAATAAATCTTAGCTGTGAGTAGAACTATATGCTGAGCTCTATGAATCCTTCTGGCAAATCACTGAACATGTTGGTGGGTCTTAGGGACCCCTAAAACAGATGTTATTTTGAATATGACTCTTCCCAACTCAACTTCTTATTTTGAAAAATTTTAAATCTATAGAAAACTGATACATGAAACTGATCTGGCATTCACAGCTAGACCTCAATATTATCGCAAACTGGCTCTGATGGTTCACAGCCAGGCCATTTTGTTCTCCTGTTGAAAATAAACAATCTTACAGAATATGAACCTCAGACAAGGTTACTCCGAGACCGTGATAAAATGAAACAAAACAAAGTCACTCCATAATTTGGTCTGAGCACAGGTCAATATTCCACCCACAAAATATCCAATAATAGAATTGTCCCCACTTTCTGACAGTATCCAATCCAGAGTGAACGAACCTCTGCTTCTTTACATCATAGGGATACACCCAGCTTTAGTCTGACTTTGTTGTTGTTGTTGGTTGTTGTCAAGTTGATTCCAACTCATGGTGACCCACATGTGCAGAACAGAACTGCTCCACAGCATTTTCAAAGCTGTGACCTTTTGGAAGCAGATCACCAGGCCTGTCTTCCAAGGTACGTCTAGGTGGGTTCAAACCTCCAACCTTGCAGCTAATAGTTGAGCACTTAATATATGCACCATCTAGAAAGTGTCAAACTGTTCTCCAAATCTTCTGTACCAATTTATACTCCCACCAATTATACATAAAATTTCCTTTATTAAACATCCTCATCAACAATTAGAAATATCAGATTTCTTCATTTCTTCCAATCTAATAGGTGAAAAGAATATCCCATCATTTTCATTTACATTTGATGTTTGCACATCTTCAGGTTTATTGGCCATTCTTGTTTTCTTTCACACTGAAACTGTTTATATTCTCTACATGACTGCTAACCAGAAGGCTGGTGGTTCAACCCCACCAGCCACTCCTTGGAAGACTGGGTAATCTACTTCTGTAGTGATACTGCCTCGGAAACCCAAGGAGAGGTCGCTATGAGTTGGATCCAACTCGACGGCAGTGAGTCTGGTTTTTTGGTTTTAACCATTTGTCAATGATATGTGCTACAAAGATTGTCTCTAAACTTGTCTTCAAATCTGTCGATCTTTTTTGTTAGAGCTTGTGCTTTTTGTGTTTAAGATATACTTCTCTATCCCAATATCATAATCTCTTCTGTTTTCTTTTAGTACTATAGTTCTGTTTTTTGCATTTAGATCAATTAAAGAAAAATACTTTTTGCATTTAAGTCATTAGCCTAGCTGTCATCAATCTTTGTCTATGGAATAAGGTGGGATCTTATATTTTTCTCATTTGTGTAACCAATTTTCCCAACATAATTTCCTGAACGGTTCACCTTTCCCCATGAATCTGTAAGGTCACTTCCATCATAAAGTTAGTTTTCACACATGGATAGGTCTGCTAATAGATTTTATTCTTTTTCATTACTCTTTGTATCTATCCCTCTCATCTAACTTTAAACATAATAATCCCTTACATTTTAATAACACTAGAATTTGTATCACACTTATTTAAATCCATTATCCAATTCAAATCTCAAAACAGTTCTGTGAAATGAGTGTTATGATTCACATTTATTTAGATGAAGAGACGAAGGTTCAAAGATGTTAAATGAATTATTCATGGGCACCAGTTAGTAAGCAGAAGAGTAAGGACCCAATTTCATTTTTTCAGTTACGACTCTTTCTACCAAATACTCTGTCAGGAAAGGTCACAACATCTTTCAAACATCTCCCAAGCATACTTTGTCCACATAAAATTAAAACAAATAAACAAAAAACATGGTTTAACAACTATAGTCATTGGCACAAATCTGTTCATTATGCTTAATTTGAAAGTAAATTCTATTCAGAAAGTGAACCTGCCCAAGGTGGCCAACACATCAGCTGGCCTTTTTGCTACTGCTCCCCTCAAGCACAGACAATGCCACTGTTAAAATCTTTATTACCCACCACTCCTCCTCACATCAGCCACAGTCCAAAGACAGAATAAAGATGGGTAAACTATGTCTCAGGAAGGGAGGGGTACAGAGCTGATGTCCCCAAAATTGGAACTCAACACTTTAAAACTCACACTTACATGTAAGTTGTAGGACATATTACAGAAAGCAAAGAGCTGTCAAACAACCTAGCACCAAGCTCAATGGCAGACAAGAGTAGGTAGTCCGTAAATGTTTTATGGCACAGATAAAGGAATTGTTGCATCCTGAGCCACAGCTGTTGGTTTCAACAGGCACTGCATAGAGCAATCAATTGAGAAAGAAAAAGTGAGCAGCCCCAGACATTCAGAACCTAGCCTGGCACTCACAGCTAGGCTGTTATTCTCTATTGCTGTTAGGTGCTAGGAAAGTATTGGGAGCTCTGGTGGCATAGTGACTAAGGCATTTGACTGCTAACTACAAGGCTGGCGGTTCAAACCCACCATCCACTGTCTGGAAGGAAAGCTGGGCAATCTACTTCCCAGTGATACTGCCTCAGGAAACCCAAGGAGGGGTCACTATGAGTCGGATCTGACTAGAGGGCAGTGAGTTGGGTGGTTTGTTTGGTTTGGTTTGGGGTGTTTTTTGTTTTGTTTTGTTTTGTTTTTTGAGGAAAGCACTGTCTTTACCCTTCAATGAGAAAACAGGTTTATTTTCCAGATGATTAAATTCAATAAATTCAATCAACATTCAGAGAGCACCTACACTTTTCAAAGCAATCAGCCAGATGGGGTGATAGACCTAAACATCAATGTCTGACTTGCAGATAGCAAATTAAGTGGGTGAATGAGGATACAAAGTGCCAGAGACATCAGAAGCAGGGAATAACAGTAGAAAGAACATTCCAGACTGAAAACTACAGTTCCTCAAAGATTGTTGGCATGTTGTTGCTATGTGCCGTTGAATCCGGACCCAACTCACAGCGACCCCTCCTTGGGTTTCCGAGGCAGTAAGACTACAGAAGTAGATTGCCCAACCTTCCGAGGAGTGGCTGGTGGGTTTGAACCGCCAACCTACTGGTTAGCAGTCAAGTGCCTTAGGCACTACGCTACCACAGCTCCTTGTTTGCATGGAGGGTGCCAATGAAATTAAATGTAAATGCTCAATGTAATTTAAAATAATTAAGTTCTCCATGCAACTCAGCAAATCTGCGCTTACCACCTTCAAAATGGGATGAGAGGGGATCACTTCTTTGAGGTCTTCTGAATTTTAAAATTAATGAAAATTATTTCCATCACTAAACGGTTGGGAGGTGGGTGTGGCCCCTCGGAGGCAGCGGCTGGCCTCGTGAACGTCGGAGGGGTCAGGCCAGTTCTAGACCTCCAGCCACAACCCAGCAGGCCACTATCCCACTGCACCCCAAACTCAACGAACTCATCCCAGGCCTCGAGTAGCAGCGGCCAACCCGAACCCCGACGGCCCGGCCTCCAAAGGCCTGGCTCGGGGTCCACCAGGCCGCAGATGGCAAGCAAATGGCTCCGGGCAACCGCCGAGGCCCGCTCAAGGCTCACTGGGCACCTGAGCATGCCTGCAGCCATCGGCTGAGTCGCGGCCTCGGCTTAGGATCTGCAGGTGTTCTTCGACATGGGTCAGCCGGGGCCCGGGCCTGAACGCCGCGAGTGCAGTGTTCCGGATCTCACTGGTGCACTGCAGGCTGCTCGGCGTGCAATCGGACAAAGAGGATGGGGGTCAGGAGGGAGCCCAGAGCTGCAATCCAGCGCACATTCCTGGCGCCCACACCGGCCTTTACCTGCACATCACTCAGCTCCACGCGCAGATACAGCTCACGATGTCGTTGAGCCCAATACACGTGCGGCGTCAGCACCTGGTTCTCCATGGCCACACAGCCCAGGGCACGGAGAGGCTCAGCTAGCTGCGCCTAAATGTTTCAGAGAGTGCGCGGCTGAAGCCGGCCGATCGCAGGCCGCAAACCCCGGCGCCGCTAAGCGCCTGCAGCCGGGAAGCCTGGAGACTACCCACGCTCGCCAGCCGCGCCTGCGCAGTGACTGCCGGGGTGGGGTTGTGGGGGGTAGCGGTGAGGGCGCGAGCCTGGGGCAAAGCAAGAGCCAGGCAGAGGCGGAGGGGGGCGGGAAGAGGCTGGCCCAGGCGCGGTGACGCTACAGCGCGCTGGGGACACTTTGCGAGTTACTGAAGGAATCAATGCTTCCCGCTTCTCTTCAGGACAATGCTTAAAAATAAAATTAAAAAGGCCAGAGTCTCTTAAGGGACAGATGAGTACGGGAAACGACTTGAGACAGGTGTATCTAGATGGCCCTCCTATTCTAAACAAAACCAAACTCACCGCCATCAAGTCAATTCCGACTCATAGCGACTCCCATTGGGTTTCCAAGGTGGTCAATATCTACGGAAGCAGATTGTCGCATCTTCCTTCTGCGGAGGGGCTGGTGGGTTTGAACCTCCAGCCTTCTGTTTAGCAGTCAAATGCTCCTATTTCATCACTCATTAATACAACACTTACTGATCATCTACTACTTGCCTGGTGCTTCAAAGCTAAATTTAAAGCTTGTTAGGTGCCGTGGAGTCGGACCCGACTCATAGCAGGCCCCTTCCGAGGCAGTATCACTACTGAAGTAGATTGCCCAACCTTCCTTCAGAGGAATAGCCGGTGGGTTTGAACCTCCAGCCTTCTGGTTAGCAGTCAAATGCCTTAGGCACTATGCTACCAGAGGTACAGAAGTGTATAAGACAGTCCATGGCCCCTTGGAGCCCTTAGTCTCTTAAAAGACACAGCTAATTACACATAAGGAAGATGGTGGTAATAGGAGAAGTAGTTTGGGAAGAGGGTGGAAGGATGTTCTAAGACAAAGGAAGAATAACGGGCTTCCAGCCCTGTCCAATAGAACCCCATTCAGAGCTTTCCACATATGGCTTTTGAACATTTGAAATGTGGCTAATGAGATTGAATAAATGAATTTTTAATTTTGCTTTAGTGAGTAAGACATTTGGCTGCTAACCAGAAGGTCAGAGGTTCAAACCCACGATCACTCTGAGGAAGGAAGATGGGACAATCTACTTCCTAAAGGTTTATAGTCTCGAAAACCCAATGGGGGGTCCCTTTTTTTTTTTTTTTTTTTTTACTTTTAATTAAGTTTAAATAGCCATGTATGGCTAGTGGTTATTATATGAGCACAGGAGACTGTCTCCCTTAAAACAGGAAATCCAAACTAGAAACAAAACTAGTTGATGTCTTATATATATGGTCTCATCTGTGATCTGCTATTATTCTCCAATTTTTCTGCAAGGAAAAATTGAATGGGATGCAACATTTCTCTGAAAACCGAAAGTTGGGGGTAAAAATGGAAATTTTTAACAATTCACTTCCGTTAGCTCTTATTTATTCAGTAAAGGGCTGAGCAGAGGGATCCAGAGATAAAGATGATGCCAGCTCTCAGGAAGCGTTGAACTCAGAGGGCAAATCATATAAAATAGGATTTTAGGACTATGAATGTGCTGAGCTCACAGAGAAGTAGGAAGGTAGGAACTGGGGGTTATAAGAACAATGGGCAGAGGGATGACTTCTTGGAGAAGTGACATTTGAAAGCTAATTCTCAGGAGCTGGTTGGTGAAATGGAGGAGAAATTTGAAAAGGAAAGGAACAGAGGTAGAGCAGCAGAAGCACGGGACAAAAATCCAAACGTGAGGAGATGTGTAAGAGCTGTGAAAATGTGATAACGACACTCCCCCGAAAGCAGACTGGGCAATCTACTTCCGTAGAGATACCGCCTTGGAAACCCAAGCAGGGGTCACTATGAGTAGGATCAACTAGACAGCAGTGAGTGAGTGAATGAAAGTGTAATCTTATGTGTAAGGCAATTAAGGGCATGGGGGAGAGAGGTCACCCTTGATCTGGAAAGGGAATTTGGGAGTGGATCAGGAAAGTCTGTTTGCTTCACTGAGCTGTTTGATCTGTATCCCACAGACACGTGGGAATCAAAAACAGCTTGTTAAATTATTAGCCAAGTCAGATATGTACTTGGCAGGATGCTCTGTCAGTGAGGAGGAACTGGTAGTAGACAAACCTGTTGGACGCTGATGCAGTCTGCCAGGTATGAGATCATGAAAGCAGTAACTTTGAAATTGCAAGCCACCATCTAAGATGCAACAATTGGTCTCTCCTCGTCCAGTGCAAAGAAAAACAAAGAAAACCAAAGACACATGGAAACAGTTAGTCCACGAGACTAGTGAACCACACAGACCTCAGCCTACATGACCCTGACACTAGAAGAACTAGATAGTGTCTGGCTACCACTGTCAAACCCTCTAAAAGGGATCAAAATAGGAGATCCTGATAGAGAAAAATGTGGAACAAACCTCAAAATCATTTAAAAAAAAAAAAAAAAAAGACCAGGCTTACTGGTCTGATAGAGACTGGTGAAACCCCAAAGACTATGGTCTCTACTCAGCCTTTGGGGCCTGGAATTGAACTCACTCCCATGGCATCCAGCCAAACAATAGACAGGGCTACAAGGTAAACGATTACACCATGTAGGTACTCTCCTTACAACAATCAACCTTGGAGTTCTGAAGGACAATATTTGCACAGAGGAGATAGCTCAGAGGGCAGGATGCATAGGAAAAAAGGACACAGGGAAAAGGTAACCCACAGGGAGAAAGTGGGAAGAGTGCTGTTCTATTATGGGGATTGCAATCAATGTCATGAAAAAAATGTGTATGAACAGTTGTATGGAACATGAATTTACTCTGTAAACTTTCACCCAAATCACAATAGAAAATGAAAGGAAAGAAATGCGGGCAGCCTCTGTTGTTGTTGTTGTTGTTGTTGTTGTTGTTGTTGTTGTTGTTATGTGCCGTCGAGTCGGCCCCGACTCATAGCGACCCCTCCTTGGGTTTCTGAGGCAGTATCACTATAGAAGTAGATTGCCCAACCTTCCTTCCGTTGAGTGGCTGGTGGGTTTGAACCGCCAGCCTTCTGGTTAGCAGTCAAATGCCTCTAGAAGCTGCAAAAGCAAGAAAACAGATTCTCCCCTGAAGCATCCAGAAAGAAATTCAGCCCGGTGCCGTCTTGATTTTAGCCATGGTGGACTGCTGACCTCCAGAACTGTAAGATAATAGGTTTGTGTTGTTTAAAGCCTCCAAGCGTATGGTGATTTGTTACAGCAGTGTTATGTTAAATTCCCCAAAATATGTGTTATAAATCCTGTGCCCTATCCCTGTGGTTATAATCCCATTTGGGAATGGGTTGTCTTTTTAGGTTAGTGAGATGGTATTAGCATAGGGTCTGTCTTAAGTCAATCTCTTTTGGGATATCAAAGAGATTAAATAAGAAAGAGAAGATGGGGAAAGTAGATGCCATGCCACGTAAAAATCACCCAGGAGCAGAGGAGACAAGGACCTTCCCCCAGAGCCAAAAGAAAAAGAAAGCCTTCCCCTTGAGCTGGCATCCTGAATTTACATCTCTAGCCTCTTTAACTGTGAGAAACTACATTTCTATTTGTTAAAGCCAAAAAAAAGAAAGAAAGCAGTAACTTTGAGAACCTTGATTTTTAAAAAGAAAATATTTCTTGAAAGGATGTAAGTATTTTCATTGCACTGGATTTCCTGCAATGTATAGACACTATAGGTCGCATTTTTGGTTTTTAATTGAGGTATTACTTACATACAGGAAATGGGGAAGTCTTAAGTATTCAGCTTAAGTTGAATTTTTTATAAGTTATGCCTGTGTAATTACCACCCAGATGGAGAGCTGGAACATTTCCAGCATCCCAGAGGTTCCTTCACATCAGTATCCTTTTCTCTCTTATATAATTACTATGGAGATAGAAAGACTTCTATCTCCATAGATTAGATTTGATCTGGTCTTGAGTTTCATATAAATAGAATCTACATGATATACATATTTGTACCTGGCTTCTGTCATTCAACATAATGTGTTGTTGTGTGAATCAGTAGTTCATTCTTTTTTTTTTTTTTTTTTTGCTGTATAGTATTTCCTTATATGAATATATCACAGATTATTTATCCAGTCTCCTGTTAATGGACATTTGTATTGTTTCCAGTTTATAGCACTTATAAATACAGCTGATATAAGCATCTGGGTACCTGCCTTTCGAAACCTGAGGCTTGTCAGCTGACTTCTAACCATGGTGAAAGCTATTGATAAGTCAGAAGATGGAAACGACATTTTGCCTCAGATGCTCCATAAGGAAGGCCCGGTAGAAGGGGCCTCTTCTGCATCACTGGATGACTGCCCTGGTCATGAGTTTCCCTATCCATCAAATGAATTAGACTCAATCATCTTCAATGTTGTAATCAACTGCTTTTAAATTTTCCTGCAAAGAGGCCAGCTATTGTGAGCCTCTCTCTCCTGGGAAACTCTGTTGTTGTTGCTGTTATTTGCCATTGAGTTGGACCCAACTCATAGCGACCCCTCCTGTGGTTTCCGAGGCGGTATCACTAGGGAAGTAGATTGCCCAACCTTCCTTCTGAGGGAAACTCTAGTAATAAAAAAATCGAAATAGAGAAAGAAAAGAGTAGCAAGCATCCAGGTGAGCTGAAAGGTGACAGGGATGAGAAAGGGCAGAGCCAAATGGTAGTACCAAGCTGAAGGAAGCAGGGCTGAGGGCTTTATGAAAATATCAGTCAAATGAAAATGCAAATCAGGCACTGTCTTTGTGTCCTGACTTCTTGGTGCAGACTTCTCAGCTCCATTTGGCCTGGGGCCCTCTCTCTTAGCTCTGAATCCACAGGCCATCATCAGCCACAAGGAAACATTTGCTTGGCACCTGCCATGTATGAAGTGAGTGTTCAGTGCACAAAGTTGGTTTCCTGTAGTTTTGGTTCTCTAGTGCCACTCTAACAGAAATATACCACAAATGGGTGGCTTTAACAAATAGGAGTTTATTCTCTTACAGTTTTGGAGGCCAGAAATCCAAGTTCAAAGTGCCAAGCTCTGGGGCCTGGGTGAAAGCCCCTAGACCTTGGACTTCAGCTCTGCCTCTTGCT